TTGTAAAATGCTAAAGAACATATATTTAAAGTTTAAAGTTATGTTTCATATTTATCTTTCTGAAAAAATTAAAGAAATTTGTTTTTTTTTGTGAATTTTACATATAAAATTGTAGTGCGTCATCTCATTTGACCTATAAGTAAAGCATCCAAAGGGGACATGTCCTGTGACTGTTATATTCTACTTGCGTAAACGCGGCATCGTCCGTCGCTAAAGTAAATTAGTTATACCGGACTTGTAAGAGGTAGTTCGGGTGTAACAGTACGTATACGTACGTACGTACGTATTTTTCACTTCGTAAACACGTTAAGATTTACTATGCCAAAATAATCCCAAAACTGAGATACTTCACTTAGAAGACAAATGCTGTAATGACTTTTACTAGTTGTTTCGTTCTAAAATCAAAAAATTTAATACACTATGTGTATTAACAGAATTGCTTATAAGACAAGTTAAGCCGTACTATTTAGGCTATACAAGCTTAATAAATTGGTTCTCATAACCGGCCGGGTCAAATTTAAAAAAAAATTTTCAAGTATATTTACTATCCGGGTGAGTTTTTTCTAAAAAATTTTATGTTTTTAATATATAAAAGTTTTTGAAAATAAAATTTTAAAAATTTTGTTATGAAAACCAATTTATTAAATTTGTATGGCCTTAATGAAAAGAACTTCTAGTTAAAAGTTCTATTATAAAAAATTCGTACTTATAAAAGAGCCTAAACATAAATGTGATTACATATGAGTGATTATATGGGAGGTGACTATATGGAGAGAGGACTGTATTCGGAAACGAATTAACATTTTTTTCAGAGATTCAGGCAAACCCGATTTTTTTTTGCAAATGACAGAGTCAGATCAAAAGAGAATTCATACTCTACTTCGCGAATTACAAAGTTTAATTAAAAATGCGCAGGAACAATGGGGCATTTCATTAACAGGGCAGGGAACTGTTAACGACAAGCTTAAAGCATTTGCACCTGTTGCTAATGGTACACTTATGCTAAATGTGTTAAATTCGTGTTAATTTTGAGTTTATTTGATAAATTGACTGTCATTTTTTTTTTAGCTGTTCATCCTCTTGGGCCTGTTAATATAGTCGGATTATCTACAGAATTCTCACAAAAAATTGCTTTGATACGTTCAACAATATCTAATTTTCGAAATACAACTGTACATGATATATCACAACTCAATTTGAGTATCGGAACTGATCCGTTATTAAAAAAATATCAATTAGCTTTACAGGTAAAATTAATTTCTTAGTATAGTCGTTTATGTACTCCGCATAGGTTTTTACCTTCTTTAATTATAAGGAAGAATCCCTTCGTCTCAATACGGTTTCTGAAGTTCGGGAAAATATCAGGATTTGTAAAGAATTAGCTTTAGATACATGTCAAAATAATCAGGATACGTTTAAATTCGTAATCCAACAGACGAGTGATTTTGGTAAACAACTTGGGTGTGTCTTCGATGTATTATTTTATCTTCATACCATTTTATTTTCTAACTTCATTATTATTAGACTTAAGGTGTGGGATGTAGAAAAAAGTCATGGTTCCACTCTTAGATTAGCGATAAGTGGATCTATTTGCGTAATGGACGTAAGTTAATATTAAATTAATGTTCTCACAAGAATACTCACAAGAACAATAGTTATTTTATTAATTTCTATGATTTTTATGTAGATTGAATTTGATGAGACAGCGCATAAAATAGTTCGAGTCACAATTACTTACACGCACACGCCTAAAGATGACGATCGCGTGCGTTTATTTATTATTTGTAATGCAGCAATTTTTATAATCATCATCTTCAATTGACATTTGTCCATAATATCTGCAAAGATTGACAATTTGCTGACACTACAACTTAGGTATATTCAGCCTAAATTTCCTTAATTTGGTGTATTTTTTTTTTTTAATTATCGATTCTAATATTTGATTACTATATAAGCAATTTCCGATATTTTAAATTGTTCAAAAAAAATCTTCAAGCATTGGCAACATTAGATACATTATCTAAAATATATAGTGTGGACTGTTTTCACTGTATAAAATGCATATCTAATGATATCAAGTCAATTTATGAAAAAGAATTGTATGTTTATATTATCAAGTATATCAATTTATATAATTTATTGTTCTGTTGCAAATTAAATGCTAATTTACTTCTTTCCTTATTGTTTAGTTCTGCTTTGAGTGGTGATATCCAAAAAATTTTAACTGATGGTCATGGAATCCCATTGTTTCATGTGGAGCGAGTTGGCCCTTCTATTGCATATTGGGCACCCAAATCCCGCATTTGTGAAACAGATTGGAATAATGTTAAGGATATTGTTGCGAAAGGTAGCAACTTCATATATATTTTCCTATTACATTCTACATTCTACATTCTATATTCTTATAGAGTAAAAATACCAAATACTTGATTTAGGCGACAATTGTGAGAGTCTCAATTCATTCTATCAATTATGGATTATGATGGAAGAATCTCGGTCAAGAAATACATTTCTTCCCATGGAGAGAAATCATTATTTAATTGAGGAAAGCGATAATGTAGTTGATTTGTTTGAAAGGTAATTTATTTAATTTGCATTATATTACTTGTTGTATGTAGTTAATAAATTGTTATTAATCAAACTTTTCACATGTAATCATATATAAGTTATGACTTCATGCCCCAAGAATTTACGTTTCCACTGCTTCCAACACCATTGAAGTTCTTACAGCAACCAAAAGATGGTTCACATACGTCTGCAAACATACAATTTGTTTTATTGCTTTGTCCACCAGTATACGTTGCTGACACTGTGGCCAAAGAAATTGAAGATTTAATTTGTATTGTTATGCCAGGATTTTTTGGGAGCAGAATTATGACAGATGATCCTAAAAGTTTGTCACTGGAAGAACTTTTGGTACGCATTATCAACACATTTTCTCGTTAATATAAAATAAATTGTTTACATTATAATTATAATTGTAGATATCAGATATAGCTCCACCAGTTAGGATGGCTCGTGGGTCGGCTATGATAAATATTAACTGTGAAAAAGTATACATCACTTTAATATGATGTTGAACATTTTTTATTCTATTAAATATAACGTTATTATTTTTATTTTAAT